CGTAGAGTCCTGTGGCATCACAGCTCACAGCAGCCTCAAACTCTTGGGCTCAAGTGATTCTCTTGCCTCAGCCTCCTGAGTAGCTGGGACTGCCGGCACCCGCCACAGTGTCTGGCTATTTTTAGAGGTGAGGTCTCACTCAGGCTCAAGGCTGATCTTGAGCCTGTGAGCACAGGCAATTTACCTGCTTTGGCTTCCCAAAGTGCTGGGATTATAGGCATGAAACACTGCACCTGGCTGTTTTTCTACTTTTAGTAGAGACTGGATCCTACTCTTTCTCAGACTGGTCTGGAACTCCTGAGGCAATCCTCTTGCCTTAGCCTCCCAGAGTGCTAGGATTATAGGTGTGAGCCGCCACACCCAGGCAAGCCTCTTAAGTTTTAATTTATGTTTTTAGACATGATGTAGTCCCTTCAGTTGTCTACTAGTAATTCTAGGGATCACTAAACTTCAGTAACATGCTTTTTCATTATAATTACTGAAACTCATTTAAATCAGAGCTCCTATGTGATATTGGCCCACTTATTCAGGATACTCAGACTTCTAATAAATTCTAGAACATAGCTATAAACTCACAGGTAACTGTGGAAGAATCTTGGAACAGCTGTAGTAGTTGTCACAAACTCTGTGTACTTTACTATGTGTGTGTGATGTATCAGGCTTTCGGAGGAGTTCTTGCTTTTTTGGAAAACACAGTTCTGCAAATGTAGTTTATGTCATTTCCTAAACCACAGCAAAAGTAAGTAGAACAGGGGATAGGTATGTTGCTCGACCTTTATTGAAAGAGTCTGCAAAAGAAACCCTACAGGAAAGACATCCATGTCAGTGAGTCAGAAGACTAACCCTGGAAGGCTGCAGTTTTCCTAGATGGACCTACATGTTCAGCACAGGCCTTGTTAGAACCCCAGATAAACTGTGATTTGCGTTGTTTTGAAATTGAAAGGCTGATCCTAAAATTCACGTGGGCGTACAAAAGACCCAGAATAACCAAATAGTCTTGAAATAAAACAAAGTTGGAGGATTTACTCCTTCATTTTCAAAACATACTACAAAGCTACTCTTTTTCAGTGTAGTATTGACATAGGATAGACATACAGAATTTTATAAGACATATGAAATAGAGTCAAGAGTCCCCAAATAAATTCTTATATGTATGATCAATTGTTTTATTTTTTATAAAGGCACCAATACAATTAAATGCAGAAAGGATGTTTTTTAACAAATGGTGGCCAGGACAATTAGATAGACACATGCAAGAAAAATAATGTAGATCCTTACCTAGTACCATATACAAAACTTAACTCAAATTGACCAAGGACTGTAAATGTATAAGCTGAAACTTCAAGGCCCTAGAAGACAGCATAGAAGTAAATCTTTGTGACCTTGGGTTGAGCACTTTTTTCTTAAATATGATACCAATAGAACACAAGCCACAAAAGTAAATAGAGATGAATTATCAAAATTAAAACATTGTGCATCAAATGACACTGCCAAGAAAGTGAAAGACTACTTACAGAATGAGAAAAAAAATTTTGAAAACCATATAATTCATAGAAGACTTCTAGAATATGTAAAATATTCTTACAGCTAAATATAAGACTGAATTTTAAAAATAAGCAGAGGATTTACATAGACATTTTTCCAAAGAAGATATATAAGGTACCAGAAAATATAAGAAAAGATGCTTAGAATTATGAGTCATTCACTCCTCACCCCCGTGCTGCCCCCTCCGGAGCTCAGTGGGCTGTGTTCCTCTTGGGACGTGCTGCAGAATGACAACCTTGGTGTTTGTGCTCTCAGTCTGCTGGCCAGCCTGCCGCCCTCCACCGTGGCACCCTGCACACCTACCACTCTGGTGCCAGGAACCCACTACCATCAGCACCATGCCCTACCCATATCCAGCACTGACCCCGGAGCAGAAGAAGGAGCTGTGTGACATCCCTCACTGCATCATGGCTCTGGGCAAGGGCATCCTGGCAGCAGATAAGTCTACCGGGTGTATTGCCAAGTGGCTGCAGTCCATCAGCACTGAGAACACAGGAGAATCAGCACTTGTACCACCAGCTGCTCCTGATCACCCACCGTGTGAATCCCTGCATCTGGGGTGCATCCTCTTCCATGAGACGCTCTACCAGAATGCAGATGATGGGCGTCCCTTCCCTCAAGTTATCAAATCCAGAGGTGGAGTTGTGGGCATCAATGTAGACAAGGGTGAAGTGCCCCTGGCAGGAACAAAGAGTGAGGCTACTGCCCAAGGGCTGAGTGGGCTGAGTGCTATGCCCAATATCAGAAGGACGAAGCTGACTTTGCCAAGTGGTTTTGTGTGCTAAAGATTGGGGAACACACCCCCGCAGCCCTTGCCATCATGGAAAATGCCAATGTTCTGGCCCATTATGCCAGCGTCTGCCAGCAGAATGGCACTGTGGCCATTGTGGAGCCTGAGATCCTCCCTGATGGGGACCATGACTTGAAGCGTTGTCAGTATGCAACTGAGAAGGTGCTGCCTGCTGTGTAACAAGGCTCTGAGTGACCACTATATCTACCTGGAGGGCACCTTGCTGAAACCCAACATGGTAACCCCAGGCCATGCCTGCACCCAGAAGTATTCTCAGGAGGAGATTGCCAGGGCAGCCGTCACAGCACTGTCCTGCACAGTGTCCCCTGCTGTTCCTGGGGTCACTTTCCTATCTGGAGGCCAGAGTAAGAAGGAGACATCCATCAATTTCAATGCCATCAACAAGTGCGCCTGCGTTGGCCCTCACCTTCTCTTATGGTCGTGCTGGGCTGGAAAGAAGGAGAATCTGAAGGCTGCTCAGGAGGAGGAATATGTAAAGGGAGCCCTGGCTAACAGCCTTTACAGGTCCCAGGACCTGTCAAGGAAAGTACACTGTTGTGCCCAGGTCACTGTGTCCCCAAGAACCACCAGGGAGCCAGGGTCCGATGCAAAAGCAGGAGAGAGAGTTTATTCAAGCTCGCAAGCCTGAGCCTCCAGTATCACGGCGCATCGGGCTGAAGGCCCCATTCTAAGGGGGAGGAATGACCTCTACGTGAGGTCATGCACCTTTCTGATTGGTAGGGGCCACTGAAGTGGCGTCATGTGCCTGTGTCCTGACTTCTGAGAACCTGAAACTTAACTTTGGGGAAACCGAAACTTAAGCCTAAGATGACGTCAGTCTTGTTCTTTCATTCCCCCCTTGACTTGTGTCTAAGAGTCCCAACCTTGGGACTGGATGGGTTCTAGTTCTAGGTCTGAAGGGGACAGTGGTTGGTACTGGCTTTTGAGCACTAGTAGTTGCACAGCTCCTACTCGGTCTTTGACGAAGTTTAGGAGCTTGTTGATGACACAGGGGCCTATTGTGAGTAACAGCAAGAGTATTATCAGGGGTCCTGCTAAGGCTGAGATCAAGGTTGTTAACCAGGGGGACCAGTTGAACCGTGATTCAAACCAATTTTGTGACTGTTCTTTTTTTTTTTTTTTGAGACAGAGCCTCAAGCTGTTGCCCTGGGTGGAGTGCTGTGGCATCACAGCTCACAGCAACCTCCAACTCCTGGGCTCAAACGAGTCTCCTGCCCCCGCCTCCCAAGTAGTTGGGACTACAGGCGTCTGCCACAATGACCAGCTATTTTTTGGTTGCAGCCATCATTGTTGTTTGGCAGGCCCGGGCTGGATATGAACCCATGAGCTTAGGTGTATGTGGCTGGCGCCTTAGCCACTTGAGCCACAGGCGCCAAGCCTTTGTGACTGTTCTTGATCTAGTTTTCTTTTCTGTAACCCTTCTCTGACTAGAGCCATAGATTCTTTCACAACACCTGAGTGGTCTACATAAAAACAGCATTCTTCTCTTAATGCAGTGCATAGACCACCTTGCTGAAGAAGTTATAACAAGTCCAGACCTCAGGTTCTGCAATACTACTTTGGAGAGGGAAGTTAGGGACTCCTGTAATTGCGAGATAGACTTTTCTATTCTTTCAATATCTAGGTCAGTCACGGCATGTAAGGCTCCATAGTTTTTGTCTTGTAGAACTAAGGAGGAAATCCCTGTGCCTGCACCTGCTATGCCAAGTCCCATGAGCATGGCTAGGATTACTGCGGTAACCGGTTTCCTTTTAATTTTAGTAATTTTACCTGCAGTTGAACGGAGCTCATAGACCTGGTATATATCTTCTTCTGAGTGATAGATTAGCTTGGGGATGAGCTATACTAAGACACAGAAGTTGTGGGTTAGATTAAGGACTTTCCCATGAAAGCATGGTGTGAGCCCTGTAGAGCAGGCCCACCAGGAATTGTTGGTGGGAATTAAGTACCTGGTACCATTCCAAGACAGAGTCTGGCTGCACGGATGTTGGAACTGAGGCTGTGTATGTCCTACATAGAGTCCTTGGCCCGATGTGGCTTGGAGGGTGAGTCAGGGACCTTGCTGTTGCCATCTGCAGAAGCTAGCTGAGGAGCTAACAGTAGGCTGCCCTGTTACAGCTATACCTTCATTATATGGGGGTCTCGCTTCCATACATAACCAACAAGACTCAGTGAGATCTGGTCTGGAAGTGTTCAGGACCTGGTAAGTAGTGATGACTAAATTCCAGAGTGGGTCGAGATTTTCAGCAGGTGCAGGTAATGGGGTCTTCCTGCACAGGTGCAGGTGTCTTGGTAATAGCCACGGTGGGGGTGGGGTCTGGACTTTGGGTGCCTGGTGCTTGGCCTGGGGTACCAGGGGACTTGGGTATGGCTGCAGGGGGAAGCTTAAGTATCGAGTTGGGGCCTACTGCAGTAAGGGGCCTAGTATTAACTGGGGCATATAGGACTTTTAGTAGGAAAATATTATCTGGATCTATCTTGGAAGAGCGGTACAACTGCACGCCCCACCATTTGCTGATTTCCCATCCTTGCATCTGCTTCCCTTTTTCAGTAAAGCTGATATTAACTGTATCACATTTGAGATTTTTCTGGAGGCACCCTTTGCTGGGGCACATAGTCTTCCGTTTCATCTGAATTAGGTCTTCTTGTTTAGGGAGATTCCACCATATTTGTCCGGTGGAAACACAGCTCCATGAGTTACAGAAGTATGAACTCATGGCTCGGCGCCTGTGGCTCAAGTGGCTAAGGTGCCAGCCACATACACCTAAGGTGGTGGGTTCGAATCCAGCCCGGGCCCGCCAAACAACAATGATGGCTGCAA